TTGTAATAAAGTGTAACGGTCTCTTGACTAAACGTACACGCTTTTATAAAAGCTCTTACAAAAGTAAATAATCTTGGCAAACAGATGCTACGTAAGTCTTATACTAATACTGATATCAATAAATAGAAGGTAGTGTACATTTACCCTGTTCAAGGTCAGAGTCATTAATCGCTGCTTATTCCTGACGTAAACGCTTCTTAAAGTTGGTCATAAGGCAAGGTAGCCATGTTCTAGGAGGGTTCAATTTATTCCAAGTATTGTCAGATGTGGATGACACTCCTGCGCAACAACCATAGCAGCAGCACCATCATCACCAACTTTATTAAAATGCAAATACAACGTTGTCAGCGATTTGTTAGATTTCAAACACTCACCCAGAGCAGCAGCACCATCATCACCAATTTTATTACGATCCAAATACAACGTTGTTAACGATTTGTTATATTTCAAACCCTCACCCAGAGCAGCAGCACCATCATCACCAATTTTATTACCATACAAATTCAACGTTGTCAGCGATGTATTATATTTCAAACCCTCACCCAGAGCAGCAGCACCATCATCACCAATTTCATTTGTATTCAAATCCAACCATGTCAGCGATGTATTATATTTCAAACACTCACCCAGAGCAGCAGCACCATCATGACCAATTTTATTACCATACAAATTCAACGTTGTCAGCGATGTATTGTATTTCAAACCCTCAGCCAGAGCAGCAGCTACATTTATCAAAGGGTTCCTCAAGTCACACGTTGTCACAATTGTATTTGTTTTAAGAAAGTTGCTCAAAAAGACAACTAAAGTTTCATCTATTTCTCTCCCTGAAAAACCTAGAAATTCAATTTGAAGACAAGCACCAACGGCGGAACCCAATTTTTCAACAATATCTTTGTTCTCCTTTTTGCATTCATCAACACACTCACGTATGAGAGTCAAGTGTCCCTCTGTTGCTATAATTTTCATATGGTTTGCCGCTGTTTCCTCGCATCGTGCGGCAAGCATACCAAATGTAAACAGAAGCACTTCTTTCAGCTCATAGCGAGAACTTATAACCTTATCTATGCTATTCGTGTCGATTTCTTTCTTAATAAGCTGACAACTGAGGTAGAATGCTGCGAAGAATTCTTGGAAAGTCTTGTGAAGAAAGCCATAACGTCTAGTTGGTCTTAGTCTACTGCCTCCAGGCTGAACTGACAGAAATCCAAATCCAGGTAAATCGCTTGCTTTGTGTTTTCCAAGCTCCTTCTCGTCAAAATCCAAGTTGTCTTCAAGTAAACCTTTCAAAGCTATCGAACCAAGGTGTTTCAATTGGCTTTCGTAAAGGTCAACAAGGTCTTCACCATTTTCTGGCAGTTGCTGCTTTGTTCTGTACCTCCTTAATACACACTCCACCATTTCCATGTACAGCTTCGTTCTACTTTCAGGAAATACACCTTTCAAATCTTCATAGACCAGGCAAAGAAGCGCAGCGTTGAGAGGATTCGTCGATATTTCATATAAATTGTAATCAGCAAATATGTGTTTGGTAAGCTGCTTGGCCAAGTTTGGTTTGTCTTTGAAGTACTTTCTGATGAAGGATTGTACATCCTCTTCAGTAAATCCCTCAACCTCTAGTAGCGTGTCGCAGTATTTTCGAACTTTGACTCCAGCTTCGTGTCGTGCCGTTGCAACCACGCGACAGTTTGGCAGTACTCGGCCTTCAATAACTTCTGAAAACATAGCTAGCTTCTCCTCAGAAACTTCATCCAATCCATCGAGTATTAGAAGAACATTAGATTGGTTGTGGCGAATGAAGTCGAAGAATCTCTCGCGTTCGTCTTCACCAACTTCTCGAGGCAGAATTTGATCTTCAATGGCCTCCCAAAGGCCAGACTCAACATCACGACATTTGATCAAAAGCACTATTACGAAGTTTGGGAAGCAATTTCCGGTTGCTTGTTTTCCCGTGGCCCAGTCGTAAACAACTTTTTTACAGTAAGTTGTCTTTCCCATACCAGGCTCCCCTTCAATCAATACTACTCTTGGTTTTTCACATTCCTCGTGCCGGTTGAAGATTTCAGACATCGTGACAACTCGGTCTGTTGCGGTTCCTCTCGTTTTCTTTCTGTAGATGACTTTGAGTCTTGTGTAGATGTCGTCAAAGGAGAAGTGAAAATCTTCACACCAGGGAAACGGTGCCAGCCAACCTTCCCGATTTTTGTAGAGTTGACGAATATTATCAATTATTCCAGTTGGCTCAAATCCATCTGAAAAAGAATTAGCTGTCAGTTTTATGAGGCATTCTTACCGACACGCCATATGACGCCATGACTCTCAGAAAAATACGCAATTATAGGATGATACTGAGAATGATATCGTGAAATATCACCACTTAGGTCTGAGTTATCTGCCGAAGCCGAAGGCTGAAGCAGATATTATTGACACGAAGTTTGATAATTCATAATAACATGAAAAAAACTTGGTGATATTACTCAAGTCCAGACCAGACCATAGAAAACTGCGGTGGATTTCTTCGAATGAGATGTTGGAAATTATGTAATGTTTAAAAAACGAGCAGGAGTGTTTATCGGGTTTAAAACCACGAGGCGTAACCGAGTGGTTTTTGACCCGATAAAACACGTGCTGCGAGTTTTTTGAACGGCTTCAAAAACATTCTTGGAAAAGCGTGTGTCAAGAGAGTTCATAACAATTATGCTTTTGTGAACGTTAGAAATTAGCATACGAGAAAAACATAATCTTGAATTCGAAGTTTCAGATGATGTATTGTCTAATATGCCTTTACCAGATTACTGTACTAATGGAATAGAGAATTTTTCCAGATGTGTATTTCACAACTGTACTATTAATTTGGTGCAAAAGTAAATTTACTGTGTGAAATTTGTTGAAAGAACATTAAATATGTTCCCAACATTTGTTGTGTCAGTTTCTGTGTTGATAATTAATTAATATTTATAAGTCACGTGCAGTGTCTTTATATCTGATAAAACACCGCATACTAATAAGGATGAGGTTTATCGATATAAAATCACTGCACGTGATGTATTATCTACCATTTGATAGGTTAATGGGCTTATGAATTATTAATGAGTTTTTGAAAGAAATGTAATAGCATCTTTCACTTATTAATTTTCTTCGCCTTAGTGACTTCAAACTTGTGGTGATTTTCGTAAGAAAAGATAGTAGGGTAGAGCATTAAGAACACACAAATTGATTTTCTAAACATTTTAAACGGCTCAATGCTGATAAATGATTCTGTATCGTGACCAAAAAGGTGAACAAAACTTATCAAATATCATATTGATTAGCGTTCGGTCAACGTGTTAATGAGGAACTAATTTTGAAAAAATTGGTTTCTGTTCTTTCACATTTGAGTTTAGAGAGTTTAAGCTATTCAAACCTGCATGAGGAAAAAATCAAGTCATCGCTGTCTTCTTTAGACGGGAAAAGTACACATACATTTACATTTATTGAACACGTCCCCATCTGGGATTTTCAGTGAAGAAATTGGATTACAAAATTAAAATACACACAATATTATACGAATTATACATCTTTAAATAAAATATGATCAGTTTAAAAATTCATTCAAAAGGTGATTTTTTAGAGCTCTCTTAAAGGAAGCGGGACTCTTACATAATTTAAGGCTTGGATCTAACTTGTTCCAGATAGATACACTTTTATAATAAAACGTTTTCTGTCCTATTGCAGTTTTAAAAAGAGGAATGTTTAGTCGTTGAAAGTTTCTGGTTATACGTCCAGATACGCTGCCTCTTGTTATATACATAGATCTTAAGTATTCCGGGGCTTGATCCGTCATACATTTAAATGTTAAAATAGCATCTCGGCAATATTTTGTGTTTTTACAGGGAGCCAACGTAGGTTTCTTGACAGGAGAGATATAGGCATACTTCTTCACGTTGCAGATAGTTCGCGCGACAACGTTTTGAACGTATAGCAATTTACGAATATTACAAGCTGAGGTGGATGACCATACTGATGAACAATAATACAGTGTCCAGTAATTTCGAAGACATTCCTCGGCTGCCAAAAACCATTAGTTTCGTCTTATCTGGATTACGCATTAAACAATTGTCGACACACCACTGAATTGCGAATCTGTTGTAAGTCGGAATTAACAGTTTGAGTGATCCAAGCAGAGTCGTTCACCGTAAAAGACACCGTATACACTACCCAAGAGGGTATAGACGGGATTAAAAGTAACCCTCAGCTATACACTACCCAAGAGTGTATAGAAGAGATTAAAAGTAACCCTTAGGTATACACTACCTAGGAGGGTATAGAAGAGATTAAAAGTAACCCTCAGGTATACACTACCCCAGAGGGTATAGAAGAGATTAAAAGTAACCCTCAGGTATACACTACCCCAGAGGGTATAGAAGAGATTAAAAGTAACCCTCAGGTATACACTACCCAAGAGGGTATAGAAGAGATTAAAAGTAACCCTCAGGTATACACTACCCAGGAGGGTATAGGAGAGATTAAAAGTAACCCTTAGGTATACGCTACCCAGGAGGGTATAGAAGAGATTAAAAGTAACCCTCAGGTATACACTACCCAAGAGGGTATAAGAGAGATTTAAAGTAACCCTTAGGTATACACTACCCAAGAGGGGATAGAAGAGAAAAAAATAACCCTTAGGTATACACTACCTAAGAGGGTATAGAAGAGATTGAAAATAACCCTAAGGTATACACTACACAAGAGGGCATAGTTGAGATTAAAGGTAACCCTACAGTATACACCCTGTAGTATACACTACCCAGGAGGGTAGAGTAGAGATTAAAAATAACCCTCAGGTATGCACTACCCGAGAGGGTATTGGAGATATTAAAAATTAACCCTCAGGTAGGAAACAAAAAATTGAATTCACATCAGTTAATATCAGGAGACCGTTCTTTGTCTGGACTCTTTCTTTTGACTGAAAGTTGAGGCATCCACCGTTAACTTATATAATCATTATCCTTTACTGGTTTCCGAATGTCTTTGTCAAGCTTGGCTATTCTCGACTGACATCTCTGCAATTCCCCATGATTATTCGACCAGAGGCATTTCCTGCCTAAAGTGTACGGTCGAGAGCGATTTGATTTAACAGGATTATTGTCGAATACGTGAAAAGGCTGTACCACGCTTCCTAATTAAGTCACGGTTTACTCATTTGATTTAACGATTCTATTTCAACGCTTTGGTTAACTCCCACTCGCAGCTCTCGACTTATTCGAAAAAACACGCACTGAACTTTCCGCTGTAAGCAAGTAGAACATTGCCATATAAGTGGTGATAAAATACTTGCCGCATACATGTTGTTTGTTAAACGTAATCACCTATAAATGTCGATCAAATTAAGAATAATTGTATAGTGCAGTTTCCAACATTACATTTTGAGACCTCACGAATACATCTGCAGGAAATTCTCGCTGTCTAATTAGTCCGGCACAGAGACCAAATGAGCATACAACATGTTTGGTGACGTGGTATTTAACGAACAGACTTTGTTGGCGCGGTTGAGAACTGCAGGCAGGACAGAACGTATTGCAGTCATCGGGGAATCGATGAAAGATTTCGTTCTTTGCAAAAGCAATCGGCTTGATTCCTCATTAACTTTTCGTCACCACATATGGTTGAGATTGTATCCCGTAACTCTAGAAAGCTCAGCCGATCGATGGAAGACTTTGGCCTCCAAGATGAGATCGCGCCAAGTGATTCCGGTCCAAGATTTATTGTCGTTTCGTAATTGAAATTCGCGCTTAATTAGATGAAGTATTAGTTATCAGGTGAACCTTTAAAGGCCTGTTTACATGGAGGTGGGGGACCCCAGGTAGTTGAGGTAACCCGCCTAGCCGTGGTCGAAAAATAAAACGCGTTTACATGCAATCTTACAACCCCGGGGTGCTGGGGTGAGGTTTCTTGAGGTTGTTGTTGCGCTTGAAATTAGGGAGTTTCAGCATAGGCGTCCCAAGCTCACATCTCGAGAAAGACGAAAGATTAATTCTCGGACACATTTGTATTTATTCATGAGAGTGTCCCGCGTTGTGTTACGCGGTGTTAGGTTACGCGAGGAATCGTAGACTAAATACGTTATAAGGAATAGTTTGGGAAACGAAATATGGTCGATTTACAACGCTAAATATTCCAAAATGTGAACATTTTACACTCCTTGTGTGTCCGTTGCGGTTTCTGGTAATTTCTGCCATGAGACGGTTAAGAAATGTACAAAGTTTTAAAACATATGTGTTTGGCTATTGAGCTTTTTGCCATGAACGTGACTCCGGCTAGGCGGGTTACCCCACCTTAAGACGTTTACATGGCAAATTGTCACCCCGGCTGACAGGGTTACCCTATCTGGCAGACCGGGCAACCCGCCTTGGCGGGTTACCCCACCTATCATGTAAACGTGATCAAGATAAAATGAGAGATTATATTGAAAGGTGGGTTACCCCACCTAGGCGGGTCACCTCACCTACCTGGGGTCCCCCACATCCATGTAAACTGGCCCTAAGTTAAAATCAACAGGTTTAAATAATCGCATAGACACCTACCGACTGCAAGCGTTAAAGTAATTCTCTGCATTGGTCACAGAAATGATCGCGACTCTGTAGAATGCGTGCTGCGAATTCTTTTCGGGGCCAAAGCTCCTCATGAGTTACCGTGCTGCTTACAACTGAACTACGAAGCCACACGTTGCATGTGACGCAAATTATGAAGGATTCTTCTTTCCCATGGAGGAATCTGATTCAATTTGTGATGAAATAAAAATTGCTGTAACTGATTCCGATCCCAATATTTCAAACTAATTTCTTGTTATTCTCCCCATGCGCTGATATTATTGGGGTTTAGTGTAAATATACGTTCGATCGCAAATGCTGCTATCTGATTGGCTTTGCTACTCACTATTTATTCCGTGACAGATAGAAAGGAACGTAAACAGCACAGGGGATGGCCCATTTCTATTAATATTCAATAAAAACACGAGTCTGTCTTTTTTCCAGGTTTTGAATGACTTTTAGATTAAATTAAACTATTGGGTTTTTCGCTCTCAGTTTCATGTTCTTTATAATCTGTTTCGGAAATAAACAGCACCTCTTTATTGATTTCCGTGCGATCACATGCCAAGTTTTGTTAGTACATTTGGCTAGTTTATTATGTGCAGTTTGAGCCTCGTTGGTTTACAGACTTTGGGGCCGCTCATTTAAACGAGGTCTAACCCAAACCGCGGTTTTACACAAAAAATGAGCCTTAGGCATTCTCTATAAGAGGGTTGATTTAATCAAGAACTGTCCTTCTGCAGTTGGCTGTCAGCTCTCTTGACTCTTTTCACAAAAATTACTCTTCAGATAAAAGGTTCGGCTTAATTGAAGATAAATGAATAAAGGAGGTAAGTTTCTAAAGAAACTGTGGTGCTGCGTCGGTGGGAGAGTATAACAGGTAATTTAGTGTTAACAACTGTGTTGAAAACGTAAATTGACCACCGTAAAGAGTTTAAAGGCTGACGTTTCGAGCGTTAGCCCTTCGTCAGGAAGACAACTAGGTGACCGATTCCGAGAACACCTTCACGAAGTAGAAAGAAATGATAAGGACGCATCCAAACTAGTCGCTGGACACTTTAGTCTCCCTAATCATTCTAAACAACATACGGCAGTTTGCGGCCTTTCCCTACATCTAGGCGGTTCAGAAAGCCGCAAAACACTAGAAGAAAAATTTATCCTCCAAATCGGCACTCTTAATCCCCACGGCAACAACGAGCGCCTTTCATTCAACTAATTTATTCTTGATTTCTCGTCATCATATTCCCACCAATAGCGTAGCTCCATTTTTCTGCATATAAACCCACACACAATCCACAATTCCTCTAATCGCTCTGACGAAAGTCTAACGCTCCAAACGCCAGCTTTCAACTCTTTACGATGGTCAATTTACGTTTTCAGCTCAGTTCTTAACACTAACTACTTGTTAAATTGAAGATATTTCAGGACGTGGTTCGGTTAAACTTTGTGCAAATAACTGGGCCTTTATGTTTCTTTCCAAAAGGTTATATAGGTTTAATCTGTTTTAATGTAGTTCACTCAAAAAATACAACGTTCTTCTTCTCATGAACACTCACTTAGTAATAACTCTCCCAAAGCTTAGCATTTCCATAGATGGATCGCCCGTAAATTCATAGCTGCCATAGAGACTGACCTTGATGTTGTGTTTTCTCTTGTCGCGCCATCATGAAACTCTCCAACTTGTCATGTATGTTTCCAACCTCACTTCTCACCTGATCAATGTCATTTCTCATTTTTTCTAAAGTTGAAAACACATATTTGTCTGAAAGAAGTCCAGGTTTTTCTTTCTTTCACTTTAATAGAAATCGCTGAAACAAGTTTTTATTCGCATTTAATTCGTTTGTGAAACAACCAACATTGGAAAACCAAAAACCTTCACTCATTTGTTATTTGGGAGTATTAGTATTAGTATCATCATTTTTTTTTTTTGGGCGGAGGGGGGGGGGTTCGTTTGCTACATTTTTATTTACCATTAAAATGATCACAGTGCATGCAGCAATATGCACCTTACTACGCTATGACTGTTGGCGGGTTAGAGAGTTTTGAAACATCTCTCATACTGCACTCAATTTTAAAAGGTTACTTGTAATTGAAAAATGACCTAAGAAATGGCATTTAGAACTCACCCTGATCTTGTGCTTCATGTTGCCGTACCATTAAAGTGTCCAGTTTATCATGTAGGTTTCCAACTTCAGTTCTCATCCACTCAAAGTCATTCGTCAGTTTACCTAAAGGTAAAAGCGTATTTTAGGGTTTTATGGGTTTGGGCTTTCCCTTAGAAATTGAGTCTAAATCCTTATTGAAACGATGAAATTTCTTCTCAGGTACAAATAACACCCAAACAAGCGTTAAAAACTAACAAAGATTTGTGCTAAAGATGGATAAGCCTCATGCCAAAAGGTAATCTATTTTAGATCAGAGATTACGGTGGAAAGATGGAGTTTCGTCGAAAACTTACCTCGATCCTTTGTTTCCTGTTGTCGAGCCATCATCGTATCCAATTTTCCGCAATATTTCCTACCTCACATCTCACCTGATTAAGGTCTTTTATGATGTTCAATGTGCTTCCTAGAGTTTTCTCTCTCTCTTTTATTTTGTTTTTTTTCTTTTTCACACGCCCGGGACAAGGTGAAAAACATCTTTCTCTAATTCTTTTACCTAGCCTAAAATTCACCATCTCTCTTATTCTTTATAAAAAACATAATAACACGCGTGTCATATATGAACTACGTAATTGGCCTAGTTCACATAGAGTCTCTGTGGCTGTGGCATTGGAGCGCGGAATCCGAAGATCTGAAGTTCGATTCCTCATGTCCCACGCTCGTAACAAGAGGAAAAATAATTTTTTCTTTATCTTGAGCTGTTTTTGAGAATCTGTGATTTAATCAAGCGGTATATCCCCAATCGGATTTGTTTTCTTATTCTTCAGCACCTGTCTGTTTACCATTGTATCGTGATTGGTTTTATTTTTTGCTTCTGATTAGATGAAGATTTTTTCGAATATTCTTGACCAGTATGAATTATGGCGACTGTAAATGACCAGTGGATAACATTAAAAAGTTTTAACTGATGCATAACTACAGAAATCAAAGCTCAAATGTCCGGGCTGATTTTGCCATTCCTCCTGATACCTTTTGCTTGATTAAGGTTACATTTTTCAGTATGAATTATATTTACCTTCAATATCTTGGAGCTTTTCTTTAATATTGTCTTCATCTTCCTTCCACTGCTTCAGCAGCTGCCTGTAGTGTTCTTCAGTATCAGGGTCCATGCACTCATTCCTAAGCTTACTGATAGCAGCTCCATAACCTCCTCCTCCTACCAGTCCTACTATGGCATTGCTAATCTCCTGCCAGTAGTTGTTGAATGCAGCATCGTCCACAGAGGCTTGGCTGGCATGGCCATACACAGTATTACGGTAGTATTTCAACCTGGCGATGTTGGCCTGCTTACTCACGTCTGCAAGATGGGGAAGACTATCCCATCCGGTGCTGGGAGGGACCAATTTACAGATGTTCCTCAGTAACACCATCAGTAGTGTGATATCAAACCCTGCTGATGAAACAGATGATGGAATAGTTGGATACAGTTTCCCCCATTGCGTAGCATTCAAGATCCTCTTGTTCCTTAGAGACTTTAGTTTTGCATGCTCTGGGTGACGCCCCAAAACTGTGTGAAGTCCTACTGGAGGGTGAATGGCATCAAAAGTGTCTCTCAAGGCTTGAGATCCAACATCCATCAGAAGGCGACAGAGTCGAGCATAGTTGGTTGTCTCCTTGGTAGAAGGAAATGCTGGTGTGGCAATTGATGCCATGTGCTCTAGTAAAGATCAATTCATCCCTAGAATGTGAGATTTTTCATCGTGAAACTTTTTTAGGTAACCAGGGGGGAGCAACTGAGGTGATGAGGTTTTTGTCCGAATCATGGAGCAATCTCTCGTGAATTATAAAAAAAATCAGTGAAAAAAAATTAATTTAGCGTGCTACAAGGAACTCTGGTAGTATACTTTTTCGGGCACGTTAAAACTAAACATATGCGCAGCACACTTAAATCAATTTTTTTAATGATTTTCTTTTCCATTTGCACAAATTGCAGAACCAAAAAGCAGAGACTTTTTGTTGTATAAAAATACAAAGGACAATAGTTGTAGCCTAACTGGAGGGACTTTGTGTTTGAATGCAGGGCAGGCTACCAACCACTGATCTTGTGTGCTAAGAAAACTCAATCATTTAAATCATTCATTAAATTGTTTGCGGTTATCGAAATGTTTTGGATGCTATCACTAACTTCACTTGGGCTCCACTTCTGATCCTCTATCACCCAGAGAAGAGAGAACCCGGGAACTCAATTCTACTTCATCGTAAAATGTTAAACAATTGATGTTTATGTTAAATTACCTGAAAAATTTGTGAAGACTTAAATAATTTTAATAATTAAAAAAATCTCATGATAAGTGCAGATGTTTGTGGTCTTGAATCAATCCAGCTTGTGTACTACACATAGGAGTTATGTAGGATTAATACTAATTATCAATTTCACAAAAATTCCTTACTCTACAAAAATTTTTCTTTAGAAAGAACTGGCCACCAAGACAAAAAACATCCAGGAGAGAAGCTGAATGGTGGTTCAATTTCTTTCCAAAATCAACAAATTAAAAGCAATGAATAAGGGGCAAGTTTCTACAGAAATTGCTACGTTGGTAAGGGGGGGGGGAGTTTTATCAACTGAGTTGTATAACATATATATATATATATATGTATATATATATATATATATATAGGAAGTCTGAGTTTCGATTTTTCCATAGTAGTGTCGATATGTAGAAGTAGAGCACGATATACCTGGACCTTTGAAGAAAATTACATCGACCAGTTTATTTCATGGCGCATCCTTCAAGATATCCCTACAACGGCACAAGCAAAAAATGCTACCTCTGCCTCAAAGAAAAATTACTTATCCTCTGCCGGCATGAATTATCATCACTCAATAAAAGTAATGAATTTATGTTGTCATGCGCCACAGAAACGAAACGTTACTTCGTAGCAATTGATTAAAGCATTTAAATTTACCGCCACGCCTTTTATGCACATTTGTAAAGTATATAAACGATGGTTACGAATATTCTTGACAATAAAATCCCCTGATGAGTGAGTAATCATGAAACTGGGGAAAAATATATCTCAATATATATATATATATATATATATATATATAAAGTGTAAAATTTTGACTTTCGTAAAACAGTGCTCAATACATAGGAGTCGAGCGATGTATATATTGGGGGAGGAAAAAGACAAATAGACAACATCGAACACTTTATTTCCTTGCGCATTCTCTCATCTCACTCGCCGTACAACAGCTCAAGTAAAAGATGTAATCTCTGCCTCAAAGAAAAATTCCTAATCATCTGCGGACCCGAACTATCAACACAAAACAAACGTAATGAACTCGTGTCTTCCTGCCGCCACAGAAACAAAGCCCTCCTACGCAACAACTAAACTGTTAAATTTTGCGCTGCATAAATTTGATTATAGTGTATATAAGCGATGGTAAAGATTATTCTCATTAAATTCCCTAATGAGTGGGCAACCACGAAACAGGTCTGTAAGGATGAACTTGTAGTTTATTTGTCTTTTTCCTCCCACAATATATACATCGCTCTACTCAATACAATACAATACAATATTTATTTGCCATATATGACATTTACACATGGAAAAAAAAAATGAAGAAAATTGATGACAGAAAATAAATGGCGAGAAAACCTGAAAGAAACCACGAGGCTTATAACAAGTCAGGCTTTCTCACTTAAAATAACTAATCTTATATTAGAATTACAATATGGACTTATGGTAATTAACTTTGACCGCGCACACGTACACACACACACACGCACACACATATTAACTAAGTTAGTTAAGAATTACTGCCTTACAGAAGCTAATACTTAGAGAGAAGAAATTCCTTAAGCTTTCTTTTAAAAGAAGCGGAGGAGGGAGAACTAGTTATGTCAGAATTTAACGAATTATAAAAGTTTGGACCTTGAAAGTAAATTGAAAACTTCCTGGTGTTCGTTCTGCACAGTGGCAAACGGAAGGACTGAGCATTCCTAGTATTATAATTGTGGATTTGACTATTCAGTAAAAAAAGTAATTGAATTTGGAAGGGAGTGTAGAGTTCACGAATGAAAACATAAAAGTACCTAATTGAAACGAATGGATATCATGAAATTTTAAGAGTTTAAGTTCCTTTAAAATAGGGCCAGTATGGGCAATGTATGTAGAATTGCTTACTATTCTTAACGCACGTTTCTGTAAGGTTACAATTCTTTGAAGGTTTGACTTATAGGTACCAGCCCAAGCTAAATTGCTATAATACAAATATGGAAGGATCATAGAATTGTATAAAGTACGAAGGAGTGAGTAGAGAGAAAAAACCTAGATTTATGAATAATACCTATAGATTTGGATAATTTATTTGCTGTTAAGGATATATGCGATTTCCAGGTCAAATTGTCATCTAATAAAACACCCAAAAACATGGTCTCAGAAACACGAAGAATAGGCTGCTCATTTATGAAAACTTGAAATTCAAAGGATTGCTTCTTTTGCCAAGGCTTGAATACCATAAAATTAGTCTTGGCTAAATTCAAGGAGAGCCGGTTTGCTGCAAACCAGGTTGACAATTTGTTTAATTCTCTATTTAATGTGTTAATTAGGTAAACAGGGTCATTATGGGAGATAAATAAGTTTGTATCATCAGCAAACAAGATTGCATCAAGCAGGGAAGCATTGTTCAAATCATTAACATACAGGATAAAAAAATAAGGGACCAAGAATAGAACCTTGAGGCACCCACAGGGAATCCCCTGTGGGGCAGATCTAACGTTATTAAATTCGACAAATTGTGTGCTCTCAGAAAGATAACTTTTGACCCATTCTAGTGCCAGACCACGGATCCCATAATGATTGAGTTTTTCAAAAAAGAATGTCGTGATTTACCGTATCGAATGCTTTCGAAAGATCTAGGAATACTCCAATGGCATGTTCTTTTCTATCAAATGCAGAAGAAATTTTGTCACACAAATCGATAAGCGCAAGGCTAGGAGAGCGATTTTTTCTAAAGCCATATTGATTATCACATAAGACATCGGAGTCATTGAGATAATTCATAATACGGTTGTAAATTATTCGTTCCAAAAACTTTGAAAAGCACGGTAGAACAGAAATAGGTCTGTAGTTGCTGAAGAGAGCTTTGTCACCTGATTTAAAAATAGGTATGACACGAGCAATTTTCAAATCATCCGGAACGATACCATGAGTAATGGAGAGATTTACAATGTGTGTTAATGGAGAGGAAACGCTGCATATAGATCGCTTTATGATAGACATAGGGATATTGTCATACCCAGCCGATTTTCCCGCCGGAAACGTAGATGCGATATCTATAATCTCCTCCTGAGTTGCTAAATTTAGGAACATTGACTGAGGGAAATGACCAGGAAGAAAATTCTTATACGAGGTCGTAGGTTGAATTCGTTTAGCGAGGTTTGGTCCAATATTGCTGAAGTAATGACAAAATCGATTAGCAATCTCCATTGGGTCAGAAATATCTTGATCATCAACCTTAAACACAGAGTTGGGTTTAGGTCTCAATTTCTTGCTGTTTAGTACCTCATTAAGCAGACGCCAAGTGGCTCTTATATTGGATTTTGACTCGCTTAGCCTCTTATCATAATATAAACGTTTCGCGATTCGTAGGGAGTGATTCAGTTTGTTCTTATAAGTTTTATATTTCGCTTCGTTCCAGAGAGAGGGGTTTGAAATATACTGCTTGTATAGTTTGTTTTTCTGCTTGACAGATTTAAGTAAGCCCTGGGATATCCACGGTTTCCTAAAGTGAAGGCGACGCTTAAGTTTCTTCAAAGGAAAATATGTTTCGTAAGCTTTAGTGTATCGCTCAAGAAATTTGCTGTAGCAGATTTTAGGATCATTATACCCGTCTATATTGAGCCAATCAATACAATCTAATTCCTCTAGGAAGTTGGAAATGTTTAGCTCGCTTTTGTCACGGACAAATATGTTCTCTTGGTGTTCGCGGGTACACTTATGATCGAAGCAAATGGAAAAGATAGGCAGATGGTCCGAAATATCCGTTATTAATAGTCCAGACTTCAAATAACTGTGCTCAACATGGTTAGAAAAAATGTTGTCAATCAGAGTTGCAGTGTGAGAAGTAATTCGGGAAGGTAACGTGATTAACGGAAAAACAGGTGAGAATACAGGCCATCTAGGAATTCCCCGGTGGCGTTGTGGTTTTGATTTTTTAGCAGATTCAAATTAAAATCTCCCATTATATAGCATATCTTGTTGTCCCGAGATATTTTCCCTAATATTTCGTTCATTCTGGTCACGAAATCATTTACATTTTGATTTGGAGGGCGATAAATTATACCAACAATGATATTTTTCTCATGGGGTCGAATGATCTCAATGAACAATGCTTCCATCACCTCAGCTTCATCAGCATAAATATCGGTGCGAATTCTAAAATCAAGATTGTCTGATACATACAAGCCAACACCTCCACCCGATTTAACAGAGCGATTTTTGTAAACAAAGTTATAACCATCAATTTCGACTCCAACTGGTGAATCCATTAACCAGGTTTCAGTTATCCCAACAACGGAGAATTTTATATCTAGAGAGGTTAGAAGGGTCGATAGTTCATCAACCTTTTTTTGAAGGCTTCGAATATTTAAATGGAACAATGAAAGATGATTCGATTGTTCACGACTAATCATGATTTCTTTTT